GCTTCCTGCTCCTTGGGCTGCTCGCCACCAGTGTCCACGTGCCGGCCGTGTGTCTGAGCCGGGGCCGAGACCGGTGCTTTCCCCGCCAGGTGCTTCCCGCCACAGCTTTTCCGCTCTGGGAGTAAATCCCCTCAATCACACGCCTGTTCCTCGACCAAGCCACAGAACCACTTCTCCACGAAGAAACGAACGCGCAGATGCTATTACCACAGGAATAATCACTCATTTGTTACACGGTAATTTGAACCACAAAATTCACCCATACAATTCCTTAGAATTTGATGCCCTGGATCTTGACCCACGGAGAATTAAATATGTCAACTTCTCTACTTATTAGCACAGATTAAAATCAAATAGTACTAATACACGCACCAGAAAAACCGACAAGACCAGATTAAATACCCAGTAAAATAAACTATTTTCTGACTAGTAAAAAAAAATTAAAAAGAATCAGAATTGTGAGCACAGCTATTTAGCGCATTGCAAAGGACTTCCATGCCTAGCAGTCGCCCTTTATGACGCAGTCATGGGCCGACGTGCTATACTGTCACCGCTTTCCCTCGTTGCGTCAACCGAATCACTTTCACGGGCTCCTTGCTTCGCCTGGAAGCCATCTCTCAACTCATCGTTCTCGAAATATCTTATGGCGGTGTTTGAAACAACCCGGCAACATATTCGTGGAGCGCCCCCCTTGTATCGAAATAAAATTATGATTATTACGATCAAATATCGTCAGTCAATGGCATTCTCTCGAATACACCAAATGAGTGAACGAAATAATTTTAATTAGCATAAAAAATGTTTTCCATTCTTTAAATAGCATTTATAACAATTTCATAGTACAGTTTTATCACGATTTGGAAGGACGCCCCGGATGACACCGTCCCTTGCAACGCCGATTGGGTTTACCTAGAGTTTACGAGCCACATAACCCTGAGTTCGAAACCATCCAAGATTCTCACGCATACCAATCTTCGCGTTCCACATCCGCTTGCCCCACCACCATCCTAGTTCCGGTTCCTGCATTGTACAAAACTTCCCTTCTCTGTCAGATTTCCACCCGGCCGTCAATGGTATTCGGTTTGTTCTGTTGTAAACCGTTTTTCCTAAATATTGATATTAATTACTAATTGTACGGAAATCATTTTTCCAGAATGACCTCGAATGTGTCACATATCACTCGGCAGAACTAATCAATAATAATAATAATAATAATAATAATAATAATAATAATAATAATAATAATAATAATAATAAATATTGCCAGTCCCTACAACCACCAACTCAATATAAAAAGTAAATTATATTCACCCACTATTTTCCCAATTTCCAAATCTAATTATCCAAATTTAATTATAGGTGAAAATTTCACAAATTACGGGACTTATATTACAAATAAAAACAACTCAGATGACTAATAAAAATAATATTAAAGCAAAATTAGAAAACTTATTATCACATTTAAGTTATCATTCAGATATGGCAGCTTTTACAATAAAAATAAAACTTTTAAATAACACACAGAATCTCATACATTCTGCTACGTCCTAGTCAAAACATACTGCAACCTTGACAGGCATGCTTCATTTCACAGAAATGTCAGCAGTAAAGACTATCTGCAAGAGGTCATGTCCCCTTGTAAAACATTAATAAAACAAGGAATCAGGAAATGAACTGGTAGAAAATAGTTAATTCTCCTCCCTTATGAATGTATTTATTCGTAATACTCGCACTAACTGAACGAAGTGTGAATTTAGTAACCCAAGATAACTTGTGACCTTTGATTTCACCTTATACTTTATATCTTCATGTTATCCTCATCCATGTACAGCAAAGTTGGCCATGAACTCACCACGTTAAGAGCACATGTTCAAGGAGTGACATCAGAATTTTCGTTCAATCACATGACAGCCAGCACGTCTTGCAATGAATATTATGTGGCAATAAGGTTCTGATTCTAACTTGGCTCTATTTGGCAGGTAATTGAACTCAACTAATCAACTCTATTACAACTACACAAGCAGGCTCATATACGACATCATTATGACAAGACATCATTCATGAAGAGTTGAAATAAAATTAAAATGTTTTTGATATGTTCATGATCTTTTCCTACTTCGCAGATGATGAAATATACTAATTTTTCTGAGAGAGAAAACAAAACACCAAGATTTCAGGCACATGCCTTTCTGGAAATCCTAGCAAATAAAAAGTTGCAAAGATTCTCTTTGTTAATTTTTTGATGATACTAAATTTCTCCTTAACTCTTAGTTTGACATTCCACTAAACTCAATCAATTAATGTCAAAAATAATCACTTTTGTTCTATTATAGGTAGAAAATAACAATGTACATGCACTAAGACAGTGGTTCTCTAAGCACATCACAAAAATATAATAATAAGAAAAATATGAACATTCAAAACAGGTATAGTATATTAAATATTTTAGCATTAACTAACCAATTAAAAATGTTCAGTCACTAATTATAATATTTTTGAAATTTAATTGAACATGTGGGTTTGTTTACTTAGCACAATAGTTGAAAATGATTAGGAAATGCAGTCAAACACATACGTAATCCTTCATCCAAAGACAGGCACTCAGGTTTCATGTTTTTAATGTGAGCAATGCTGAAAACTCTTGTTTGCACATGTACAGTACAGAAAATTGAAGCAGTATTGACAATAGCTTCCAAGAATTATAAGTCCTCATGCAGTTTCTACTTTATGGGTGTGCTGCAATGTTTCACACATTGAAGTAGGGTAAGGCAAGCCAAAAAGGTTTGAGAACCACTGCCCTAAGAAATGCAAAGACTAACAACTCACCATCTCTCAAAGGTGTGACAAGAGCTACAGCTGCATCCCGGTAAAAAGCTGCCAATTCATCTTGGCTGACACAACCATATATATAACGAATAGGAGACCAGTTGTAAGTTGTGAAACGCCCATTGATGCGTCCCACAAGTTGATCCATTTCTTCCTTCAGATCTTGATACTCTTTCACATCTGTGCGTGAAGGGACGGATATTTGCAACATTGTTGCCTGCATAACAATGGAAGAATATCACAAATCAGAACTAATCTAAGAAAAGTTGGAGCACACTTTAATATGATATATAACATCTCCACTAGTTTCAACACATTACTTGATAACTGCAATAATTTTACACGTGGCTTTTTTATATTCAATATTGATCTACTGATTCATACACACATTTTGTCATCATAATAAATGAATGTTACAGACTGATTCTCAAGAGTATTCAATAATATAATTACAAATTTATTACCACAGAACTTCTTCAAACACAAAAAAATAACAACTCAACAAAATAACAATTTGAAAAAGGTTGATGATTTGCTCTGAAGGTAAGCAGGCTGAAATTATTATTGTCACAATGTGCTAAACGAAAAAAATACTATTTTTTCAAATCAATGTAGATACTTAGACTCACACTACTTTATGTTACCTAACAAGCAGTTTAATAGACAAGCTTCATTGGTAATATTGGTATCACAAAGATTACAATATTAAGAAGCCAACACTGATCCACAGATAAGGATAAGAGGACTAAACTAACATTAGTACTGGAAAAAACAATTTTTTTTAAAATTTTACAATATATTTAAAGTGATTAAAATTATTAATATTATCATTTTACTTCCTAATGTATTTCAATTAACTTATTTTTCAACTTCATGAAAAAAATACATCTTACAAAATTGAACTAATGACCTACAAGAGAAAGATCCAAAGATTCCAAACACTAACAGAAAAGATAGGCAGTTGTTTGTAAATGTGAAGGAGGTCTTTACAACAAAATTCACTCACCTTTTCAATGTGTTCAGGATATTTTTCAAATAGAGTCTCTATTGCCTTTAATCTGTGAACAAGGCCTTTTGTGTAATCTAAGCGATCAACACCAAGGATAATCTTCTGATTGGTCAGCATTACCTAGACAGAACGTTCTACTTCAAACACTGTTGAAGACTCCCAAACAGAGTAGAGAGCATCTAATTTCTAATAGTGACAGAAATGAACACCTCAATTAAGAAGATGTGGTCTCAAAAATAAAGTGAATGTCAAATAATAAATACACTAAATAATTTATCATTGAATTTAAGAATTAAGAAAAGGATACAATTTATTAATTCATGTTAGCTAAATTAAGAACAATTAAATTTTAAAAAATTAAATATTTATAAAATCTAAGAGATTCTTGAAAGCCTCAGCTGAAACGGCTGAATAACATTTTATCTAAGAATGCAATTCAAGTATCTCTGCAGAATAAAGCTTGTACTGACCTTGGGAGCATTACTTGCAAGTTGAACAAAGCGATCATATGGGATGCCTATGGGGAGAGGTCGAACCCTGACTGTGCGGCCACCATGTTCTACTAAAAGAGCTTTACGATCCACTCGGCAGCCTAGCCTTCGCTGACAACAATCCACAAAGTTCAGGCAATAGTCTTCAATATGAAAACCAACCATGTCATTACCTACGAAGCAAAAGACATTGCCAATAATTAACAAAGTATTCCCAAAGTATACAAAATGAAAACATGAAAGAAAAAAATAATAAAAAAAAGAGTTAAAAAAATTGCAAATACATTAAGAGGATGGGGATAAAGGGAACTCACAATAATATTACATATCTTAAGAACTTCAGAAGGCAGATAGAGATAAAAAAAAGCGAAATAGAAGTACAATGAAACTTTTTCATTTTAAAAAACATAACTTAAAATGCACTTACCCAGCATTCCTTGCAGAATTTCATCAGCCCATGGGAAAAGGCGAAAAATATCCCATGGGGGAAAAGGAATATGTAAAAAGAAACCCAATTTGCAACGAAGATCCCTTTCTTCAGCCACCTACAACAAGGAGAATTATGAAATTAAAGATGCATTTCTTGTTAAAATTTCTTTTATGTCACAGCTTGATGAACAATCAAGGAAAACATACCTGTCTAACCCAATTTGCAGCCAACATCAAATGGTAATCATGAATCCATATTAACGGAGTTCCGGCACTGTTTCCCTGTTCAGCTATCAGCTTGTCAAATGCTTCAATGGTTTTATCCGCAAACAATTGATTCACATCATAATAGCACTGCCAAAGAACCAAGTTAATGATGTTAAAAGGTGAGCACCTGGTCCATTCTGAGGTCATTAGTGTTAATTATATGATTACACATGCGACTGACCCTTGGAAAACAATAATCTTAGCAATGAAAATAAATATTTATTTGAGTTCATAGGTACATAGAGTCTTTTGTAATGCACCCTACAAGAGCTGCAGTACTCTTAATCAGAAAAGAAATGATAACAGTAATGAATGTATCTTTCAAATCTTCAATACATGATAGACTCATCAATATACTAGTGATAATCCCACTACAAATTCACATACATTAGTCACTTCCCAGTGGCTAATTTTGTAAAATTAACACTTCTCTTTTTCCTGAGCAATGCTTCATTGCATGTACATCCAACATTAAATTTGGAAGAAATAATCTGTATAATAGTAAGTACCAATCTACATCCAAAAGTCAGTCACAGACAGTTTTTGCAAACTAAATATAATACACAATTTTTTCAACTAATGATCTCCTAATATTATTTTTTGGCTAGGGTACATCAAATAAAAATATACCAATTTAAATTTATTCTCCACTTCCCTTTAGCAAATAATTATAATCATCCAAAATTTTTCGATACCTTTATTTTTTTAACATATTTTTTGTGGTATTATTTTTTATGGAAAAATCAAGAACAAAATAAATCATCATTCGAAAAAGTCTGCAAAATTAAACAGAAAATCAATTAATCTAAATTTAAAAAAGTGTTTTCCTATGACTTATGAATACTGTAAAACACATCAAACTGGTAAAATTGATTAAAAATGAAAATTCAGAGTAACACTTCAAAAATTAAAATAAGTTACCTTCCAATTATCTGCAGAAAAGACAGCTCTATCTGGCATTGAGTGAAACAAGGGCCAAAATGTACCATTACAACAACCATTGTAATATGAATCAAACACATCAGCGTTTATATGAACTGAAACAACCTACAGAAAAAAAATAAATTTCAATACTAGTTCTTTTCACATAATGCCATAAAATACAAAATAAAATATTCTTTTTAACTTGCCTTCTTTGACAGAAGTCCAGCAGTGGGTGTTTTATCATTTGGGTCTGATTCAGGTATGGGCTCATTTGGATTATTCAAGTGAATACCTGGCCAGCCCACCCACAATCCGCCACTCTGTATTACTACAGGTGCTACAGCAGTTACAAGACCGCCGGCGCTGCCGGAAACAATGGAATGAAAGGAAACAATTACAATTTAGGATAATTGTACAAACTTCGTTATTTGAAATAAATATTATACGAAAAATAAGATGTCAAGTATGTAAAAATTACCGTAAAACACTATAAGTACTTTTGACATTACCTGGCCTTTCGTTCCAATAATTGTGTCAGTGCATTTCGCTTTAAAACGAAAGGTAATCTGTTCGATACTACGATCATACTGCCAGTGGACGACGCTACATCAGCCATCTCGAGAGTGTGTATGTACGATGTCAATCAGTAGTATTTACAGTCAGCGTACGTCTCGCACGCTCTCCTCGCCAGCTACGAACACAACACACCGCTCCCCGTGCCGCCACCACAACCTTCTCGCGCACGCTCCCAAGAAGAACTGACTGTCAAAGCTGAACGTGATAGGAGGAAGATATTCTGTCAGTCGCACTGACTCAGACCAAAGTACAGTCCTACAAATAAATGAAATCAACACACGGATGACCCGGACTCTGACACAGAATGGGTCATCACATGTCAAAGAAACAACTCGCAACAATTCATTAGCATGTTCACGTCACAAAACACCAGTGAAGTATACCGCTCATCGAGGATCACGACGTAAATACCACGCGACTAATCACCAGAACACAGTGGGCGGGGCTACGTAAGCGAAGGTTACCACTTCATCGTGAATTATTTCAAGAAATAGGGATTGTCACTCATTTTTCTAATCTTTATCTGGAAAGTAACACTACGTACTATCTCACTAATCCTTCCAGACTTGAACACACTTATTAATTTTCTGATTAAACTAGTATTAACCCTAACTGAGTTGAGGCCACATATTCACCTGTCTTTTGTTTGAGCTCCCTATTGTGCGGAAAACACCCGACCGTCACATGTTCGCCTGCAGACCGTTGGCAAAGGAGCGGCGTGAGGCGCTCTCGCATTGGCCGCATCACGTGCTGCGCGCATGTTGAACACCGATTAAGGATTGTGTTATTAGAAGGATCGTGACGTCCGCACGGATGTTTGCATACAAGAAAAACTAGCGAAATTCTCGTAAACCTCAACTGCTGTGTCAACTCAGCTTCCGGTCGTTTTAATTAATAATGCATTGATTTAATCGTAGAGGCTCAGCATTCGAATACAAAACAATCCTCTTGGTTTCCTTGTGGCTTCTCGAAGGCCACCCGTAGCTTTCAGTTGATGGGTCAACTCACGGAAGATATCTTCAGCAAAGCTGTTCTTTAACTCGAGAAAACTCGAGTGACGCGGCAACTTAATTTCTCTCTTCCGGGCACAATCAACAACAAAAAGTCTAGAGAATTTTAGATTGACGAAACAAAGGTCTCGGGTTAGCAAGAGCAGAATACGAAACTCTCGTGACTCAGTTGAACATTGAATGGAATTCGTTTGTTTGAAAATGAGGACTACGCGTCGAAAAAGAAATCAAATTTCGCAACAATATCAAATTTCAACGGCAGCAAGGAAGTATTTGAAGGGAATAGTAACGTTTGGTCTTACTACGAGCACCTCGCAACCGCGATGTTGACAGTCGAAATTCTGGAAATGGAATACGAGGCAAATAGAGGGGGTACGTAGGCACATCGCAACAATCTGGTTCATTCTGCACACTCCTAGCATGGGTGTGTACAACTGAACTCATCCACTTTTTGTCCGGTTGAAAGTCTCGTCACAAAAAATAATTTATTTTAGGTCAGTGCACTCGTGATAAGATTAATCAAGTAATGTAGACCAGTCAAAACACAAGAAATTGGTAGAGTTCAGGGTAACAAATAATACTTTCAGGCAAACACCATCTTAATCTAATCATCTCTAACTTTACAGTTAACTCGTGCTCTTAGACACGATTATATGGGGAATTGCCTTGAATTTAGGTCATAATACAAACCAATTTTTAAATTGCCAACATTTGTTTTATTAAGCCTTTATCAGGGCTACAACACAAAATCTTACATTTTATAAAGAAACCAAACAACTGCTACTTACATGATCTTCCTATATTCAGCTACCAATATTCTCACATTTATAATCTATATACAATAGGACTTGCCAATTTTTTTTACTGAAATTTATAACTAATAATCACCAAGCTACTCATGCTCTTTTGTACAATTCATAATATTAAATCTCAATGAAAACAAAATACATACAAAGAATGAGATCAAAGAATTTAAAAAAATGAATAGTAGAACAAATTAAGAGCCAAAATACTATCCAAAGTGCACCAGTTTTCTTCAATTATAAAACTGAGTAATATAAGGATGAGAGACAAGGGTCCATATGTAAAGCCCTTTCAGGATACCCTCAAAATCCATGATAAGAAACATTAGTTCTTATTGAAAAGAACAAGCAGGAGTCCGACAAGAGAGACGTGAAACACTTAAGTATGTCCAAACCTAGAGTGGGTTGTAGTGAGGAATGACGATGTAACAACGTTCGCACAATAACAACTTTGTCCAGCATCATTAATGTCTTGGGGTATGTTTTGTGTGATGTGCGAATATGTTGTTACATAGGAAGTGTTTTACATGTATAAAAAATAATGAGCAGGTTGGTGATGTTCTGGTGTCTGTCCTTAGACCTTTAAAAAAAAATATATTTATTTGGTTACTTGCGTAAGAACATTCCAAGCCTTTTTGACATTCAACTCGGAATTATTCTCCTTGAATGTCATCATAAGTTCAAGTCAAGTCACTGCCTTTACTCTCTATTTGCAACGGGCTCAAGGCCATTAGCAATGTCCAGGGACACGTAGTGTCTTGAACTACTTCCATGACTTCTCAGAGCTCTTTTAAGATGTTTGTCTACCAGTAATATACTCCAGAAACAAGGTCAAGAAGGATAGCTAGCTTAGTTTCAATGTAGCTTCAAAGTGTAAAAATAAAATGCACATTTTCAAAAACTATTTGAATAAATATATGTGAAGGAACTAAAATCAACCTGGAAGCAAATGGGCACAGGGACTTTCAAAAGTACTGAATCAAGAGTGTAAAATCATATGCGTCACAATTTAGGATAAATAAAGAACTATCTGTTTCCTTCATTGAAAACAAAATTTTAGGTGGTTATTTCTTATATTACTTATGAATCATTTGTCAGGAACCATGTAAATTAATTTTAAACGAAAAATAAACCATCTACCTACCTATATATACTTTTGGAGCAAGGAAGTCTGAGGAAAAGGTATCTAATAAAATAAATCCATTTAAAAATCATGCTTTATTTTTTAAGAATATTTATAATGGAATTTAGACAATTAATAAAAGATGAAACGATAACCTGTAATATTGATGTTAGAAAGGTAAGATACTTCTGTTAATTCCAAATTATTTCACTAAATAACGCAATTCCATATTCTCACACAAACAACTCTGCTGTGCAATTAAAAGACACCTTAGATTCATACTTAACACTTCAACTCAATTCTTTCAAGTTTACTTTTTCTTCTTGTAGAGTTTTCTTCTATTTTCTTTTCTTATGCATGCATGCATCAAAATGTTTGAACATTTAAACATCACTTAAAGTTTTGTTTTTGAGTTCTGTTTCTCTGACCCATTGTAATAGGGTACCAAAATATATGTAGGCCAGTTGACAGCTAGAATCCAGTTTTTTTAAGGTGAGGGTGTCAGGTGGTTCACTCATGCCCACTGCTTACATAATAAATAATTAAATAACTGCTTATCTTGTTACAGTGAAATGCTCATCATCAATAGTAGAAAAAACAAAACCTTCATGTAACAAGAATTCTGTTATTGTCCTGAAAAAAATTAAAATAATAACAATAATAAACCAAACAATTGAACATTTTACTAACAGTTTGTACATAACAAAAGTGATATTTCCATCAAAAGTTTGGCACTGAAGCAAATAAAGGGTGTGACTGAGAAACAGGATAAATGCTGACCGGAGCCAAAGAAGATTTTTTATGTTCAGTTGCATTTAGGTATTATTGCATGTTTTCTTCCACCAGTGAATACCTACAACTATTTCTTTGCTAACATCAGTTGAACTGAGAATAAATTATAGAATCAAGCATTGTTGACAAAATTTCATAACCAGAAATGTTCACTCCCATGTAATAGAAACTATTTTGCATCAAAAAATGAGTTACAGAGTTGATATAATAGGTCTGTTGTCAAAATAACCAAACTCCTACTCCTCTTGCATCTAGTGCTATAAGGGCTCAAGAAAATGTGCATGGGTGATATCAATTATTATGTCATAGAGCATACCCTATTTATCGCCAGAAAGTGAATAAATAGCTTGGGATTTTTGATTTAGTTCGACAAGCTGAGATTGGTTTCTAATGCAACAGAGACGTGTGCAAACAACAGCGTACTAGTCTCGTTTTCTTTTTCAAACAGGCTTGTCCTTGCTCATAAAACTTCATTTTTTTGAAAACGTTTTTTTATAACAAAAAAAATTAGTTATTTAATTTGTTTTGTTTTATTATTTGTTCAAAGGGAGATAATCAGTTATTACTGGAACTTTACTGATTGTTAAGAATTGAGTGGACCAACAGGGCATATGCACAGTTCGTCCTAAATGTATAACTGGTTGTAGCACGATGTTAAGTTTTTTATAACTGCCTTGCCTGCACAATATGCTCAGAGGCACTTGCTCAGCTGCACGCTTCAAACCTCTTAAGAAATACTTGTGTATAAAGTGGAGTTCTGCTTCCATGAAGAAATGTTGAGGTAATTGATAGCTACTTCACTGAATTCATGTCTTAATTCCTGTTAAACCACTCATGCGAACTACAAATACTATTTTTCTTCCCTTATTTACTGACTAGGGTTTCTCGCAAGACATTACTGAAGATAAACAAGTGTCATGTTTGTCGATGTGTAAGACACCCATGACATCCCATTTTTAAATACAATAAAGAGAAAAATCTACTTTATGCTTAAATACGGTACTGTCACATAAGACGCATTCCTATCAAAGAGAAATCCAGACAGACAGAATTACAAGGAAATTAAAGCCCACATATGTTTACATACTTGTTTCTAAAACTTGAAAGCCCAGAGGTATCATGATTCATTGATAAAGGAGTTTTGAAACCAAATTTTACAGTTCAAGAGAAAATCATTTCTTACCTTACTGTACTCTCATTCATTTGACCATTTAATTTTTTGGTGATAAATTGAACATCCACACCACCTTCATCATCCACAGCTGCATCCTGCAAACAAAAGTTTATTAAAAGCCTTCCCTCTCAGCCATAATAAAAGGATTACTGTTAATACAATAGCATTTTAGAAAATATTATTGAAAATTATATTAAAATACCCTTCAGAATTACAGTATTCATCTCTAGGCTATCTACCACTGAATCTTCAAATAATTGTAACAACAACTTACATTCTTTGTGAAAAATGCATGCGTTTTTGTGAAGGCAACATTTTAGACTAGATTATCCCAGTATCTTAACAAGTAAAACCCATTATCAATACACAATTCCAAGGTTACACAAAACAAAACACAATAACTAACCTTCGGCATTTAATGTTCTGAAATTGAATTGCTTTACAAAGAAAATTTTAATCCAGTGGCTATTGAAATATTTACTACTTTTATATATTACCAAAGTATTTCCATAGAGAGAAGATAACTTTTGACAAGTGGCAGCCAATAAGGAATTCTATTGGTGGTGCCAGTTAGTGATGCAATATTGATAACAAACCATCGATCCTTCCAATTATCAATGTTCAAAATTAAAACATCAACATTTTTAGACATTGATGTTTTAAAGCTGGTTAAGTAATTTCTGACATTAAATTCTTGAGCAATGAGATTTCATTTTACAGGGACTGTGTTTATTAATTTATAATGAAAATTATATTCAAAACAAACTAAAAATAATAAGAACAAATAAAATACTCAGTTTGAAAACTTGAGCACTCACAGTAATTTCAAGAGTTCATTACTGCACTCTATGGTACAGAATGTTAACTACAATGCCAGTTCAATTTTGGCTTCATCTTATCCATAAGAGATGCATACAAAACTAACACAGCATACTTTATACTGAAGATAAATGGCTCGAGACACAGCCTATCCATAGGTGGCTCAATGGTTTGGGAGAGGCCAACAGACAGCACTCCACCATTGGCGTTTGTCGAGTTTATTGACAGAGCATGGCGTCTGGTGAAAATTGAGTTTTCCTTCCTTCTAGGGATGTGACATTGATGTCAATGTTTTTAAAACATCAATGTTTCTATAAAAATATTCATGTTTCAAACAACAATGTATTCAAGTCGATGATGTTTCAACACTGATGTTTTGTGCTAATGTTTTTACGTTTTGAATGTTTTCTTTCAGGATAAAACATTCCCATAATTACAATTTTGTAAGAGTTAAAACACAAAATAATAACTAATGGCACCACAATTTATGTGTGTGTATACCATTGAGCAGACTGCTCCTTACTCAAGATGATCCTGGAACCACCATAAACTACGTCTTTCCTTCTATTTCGACATGGGATAAGTTTTAACTGTTAAATTTTAATTATAAATTAATGTACTAGATCTCTATCAAATTAATTTTTATTGTGCAAAATTTAATGTTACAGGTTATTAAACCAGCTTTTAAACTTTGATGAATTTTGTTTAATATATTATTAATATCAATGTTTTAATTTGGACATAGAAGTTTTGTTGAAATTGCATCACTACTTCCTGTTTGTTGGTGATGCCAAATCACATAGGCACTACCCTCCAAATCGCCACTACTTTTTACATTAAGGACTAATTACTACATCACATTTCATTAACACAAAAAATATTGCATGACAAATGCAATTTCATTGTTGGAAATAGCCACAAACAATTTCTAAAGCCATGGAGTTAAACACAAAGTGACATGTATAGAAAAATAAGTTTCATTTTCCTCAATAAGCAATAATCTATTTGTCTTCAATATTTTATGTACACACCAAACTGCATAAAAACTAACCATAAAATACAGAATTCAACATCACTTTCTAACTTACTGAAATGACTTTGAAAACAATCCTTTGTTGAGGGTCTGAAGGAGCATGTTGGTCCAACCCATCGTCCATTTGATTCATATTCATCATCGAGTTACCTAATGGATAGTTCATTGCAGTCTTTGATGCAGCCTGTGCACCCATGTTCTGAAACATAATAGTAGTAGTAACAAGAACGAAAATTACACCAATCTTAAACAATTAGTCATAAAAAAATTAAATCAATCAATTAATAAATCTTGGTTAAAGTTTAGAATACGGTACTTTTAAAATCTAAAACTGTTGACATTTGTTACAAAAAATAACTTTATCTGTATGAACAGGAATTGTTTATATTTCTTATTTTTTTAAATACATCAAACAAGCATGTAACAAACTTTTCAACAAATGAAAACAAAAGTAAGTCTAATCATAAATAACACCTCATATAAGTATCTATTCATCTTATCTATTTAGTAGTTTACACTCATAAATAAACTATATATTAGTACTAGTTACCTGAAGTTCTGAGAAATTAGGAGCACATTGGTGAACATCAATTACTTCAAGCAGATGAACAGTTAAGTCGTTCAAATCTGTAATTGGCAGAATATTGAACACCATAATGCACCGCTTCCCCTGGGTGACCCTTACTGTCCCTGACACACGACAGTAAGTATTCTCAGAAGGCTGACTGCCCTCCTGAAAGCAATTTTTAAAAAACATTTTACTGGTTAAGTAGATTTACTGTTTTTTTTTCCATTGTAACAAAATTAAAAATTTTCCTCTTCTTTATCTATTATTATTGAAAAAGTTTTGATTACAAAAAAACATAACTTTCAAACTTATCATTGATATCTATAATTTGACTTAAATATTTAATTTCTTACAGTTTCTTACAGTCCATATGACACTACACGTAATGGTAATAAAAATACATTGTGCTTTAAACTGGACATTTTATGCACCAAAATAAAAGTCCCTAATCATGTTCATCAACAAAAGCAAATCTGCTCTTAAAGATTCATTAAAGCAAAATGAAATTTATAAAAGTATACACAAGTGAGCTAGCAAAATTTTAATTCACAATTACGAGATAAAATAATTCTTAATAAAAGATCTCAGGAAATTTTATAAGCTAGACCTATTAAAATCAGTTAAAACTTGTTTACAAAGCTACAACTTAAATAAGATTAAACATTATCTTTGAAATACAGTAGTCCTTTACATGTCATCAAAATCTACATGCAAAACTCTTTTCAAATAAAAATGTGAAACTCTATAGAAAATATGATTATTTTCTCATTTATGATGGTGAAATTCTTTTTCTATGCTTAAAGACTCACCAAGGGACCTTCTAGCCATTGAACCGCTTCTATTTGTCCAGTTGTATCTTCAATCAAGTAAGTAATTTTTGTAGATGACATGTCTACATTTTTAATTATACCTACAAGTGAAACCTAACACACACAAAAAAATTAGAAATACCACACAAAATAAACTTTTACAAAAATCTTTATTTCAATTTATGAATCAGTTCATAAAAAAACATTACTTACAACATGGACATCGAGTTCCCCTATTTTAAAATCCTCACCACTTTTAAGAATTTGATTGATGGTAACAGGAACGACATTCTCACCTCTTCGATTCTTAAGACACAAAACATATAGGAATAGTGAGAGGAATGATTACATTAAATATCACAATATGAAACATGCATTTTAATTCACCTAAACAAAGATAACATGAATTTCACATAAATCAAAAAGGAAGAAGATTATTTTCACAACATTTATTAGTAATTTCTCCCAATTTTCCATAGTGATTGATCAAACTTTCAAACTTCATGACAAACATTCAAATTTTCGAAATTATATATAACTTTCACAAGGGAAACATAGTTCAAGTAGAAAATATCAAATACTCATATTCTGAGTGAAAATTTCAATTAATGAAATATATGATCTGGCGCATATCAGTGCAATTGATATGCAATAGACTATTAACTTGACAGGTTAGGCACGTCTAATCAATGCACAATACCTGTTTCTTTTCTGTGGTCTCCGCCGAAGGGGATGCGAAGCTGTTTTCTAAGAAACCACCTCCACCAAAGTTACCTGAGATACAAAAGAAATAGATAACATTTCGCACTAATAAAAATTTAAATAAAAGCACTGCCGGCGTGCTCGCTTACCTCCGTCACCCCACATCTTGTAAGCAATATATGATCTCCACAATCACAAAAACATAAACACTAACAACCAACCAAGAAAAGAAACTTTGATAACACCTGTTGGTACCGATCCTTTTACTTACATTAAAAAAGTCACCAACAAAGACTTTAAAACTTTCCAAAATTCACCTCACAGCAATATTTTCCCTTCAATGCAGACCTACTCACGCGCGGGAGTATTCTTAAGTTCTCATTGGATAATACCAATATGCTCAAGCAAACCTCCCCTCATTGGTGTAAAAGAATTACATCACTCGAGCGCACTTTTCAAAAAAACGTTTAATGATTTTTCAAATGAGCGCACAATAATCTTGCGCCACCGTCAGTGCAAAGTGACTCAGGCAAAGTGATACTCACAAAGTGACACATCTAAAACAATGTGTTTTTGCAGCAGAACGGTTTTATTCTCAGCGAAGCTGTTCATTTCTTGCTCAAAACGTATAATTCTATAGGGACACTGGTTGTCTTGCACCTTACACACTTTGACTACTAACTACTACGGACCTTCATTAAATGTTTGCAGTAAAAAAAGAATAGTTGTTTTCGTAAACTTGTTTGCTAAACTAAAAAATAACGTTTATTGAAATGTGTCACCGTTCTTAACTACCAACAGTATGTATCTTCCAAGTGTCTGGTAGCATTTTGTATGTTCTGTAGTCAGTGGCAGAGCTTGACAGATTGTGCAAGGGCGCGACACCATCAACATTACAAATTGTTAACAAATTAAGTATAATATTCAATTAATTCAAGAGTGCGACATTTGTACGACAAGGATACGGCAGTGGCGCAACCAGGATTTCGACTAGCGCTATAGATGTAGAAGTCTAGCTGATTGAATGTTTTTTATTATAAAATTAAATAAAAAAATAAAAAAAAATTTTATTGAGTCACATATATTAGCATATTAACAATTGTTGTATATGAGTATAGGTGCGTTGGGTGGAGAGAGCGTAAGTATAGATTACCTGTAGCGCGGCTAACTAAGGGGGCGCATCTGTCGCGCATGTATTGCTGCAAGTTAGGATCAGGGAAACTGGAACAAAGACTGATCAGATGGATTATTGGCCTAGGAGAATACAATAGGCGTGTTACAGTTAAATTAGAGATATTATAGCAGTAGATAATATCTGCTAATAACTAACATTTCAATATTAATATTTAATTGCTACTACTTATAATAATAATACATCAAAATAAATATAAATAATTATAATAAATAATTTTATAAAATTACATTAATAATACAATCAATTATGTTGCACTAACTCAAATTTTAACAATAGTAGTAAAGATTCTAATATTTAATTTGAAATGGTCGGATGAGGATAGTTTTGACAGTTTTCTTCCTTCATTTAGGGATGTGATATGGTGCAGTTTCTTTTTCTTGCTTAGCTGAAAGTCACATGAAAACAGAAAGTCTAATGGAATAAGAAATGTCTTTATTATGTATATTTTTAAGAGAAATAGTAATTGAAAAATTCTTTAAACTGTAGATACATGTTTTAAGCAGGAAAGCTTGCAATTTCTTTAGAACGTGGTATTTGGAATTTGGTTTAATGTCTTGATAGTCATTGCTATTTTGTTGCTAAAGTGTAAGTTTGCGCTCTATTATGGGTTATCTTTTTTTGATGAGTGTAGTTTTTCAAGTTGGGAGATGTTATGTTATACCTTTGACTGGGTGTTGTAGTTATGTACATCAGAATTTAAAGTAAAAGTGTCTTTGTTTCCATGAGAATTTTCTTTGAGAAGACCACTATTTCAAATATGTACGTATAATTGGGTCATTTATAGAGAACATGTCACAAATGCTTAATTTTCTTAAATATTCAAAACTGTAGCGTTTACTGTTTTTCAGCAACAAAAAGCAAGGAGTATGGTTGGTTTCACTCCATGAAGTGTGATATTCAGATGTGGGTATAGCTTAAATCAAGAGGGATGAGGGGGACAATATTCTGTGCTGCCTTGTGGTAATCTGGGCCCCTTTTTCCATTAAATATTTTACAAATGATTTTCTTTACTGGTAAATAAATATAACATAATACAAGGACAATGAAACAACTTTAATGAAACCATTAATAAATAAAATTGTTTTGGTGAACCATTTACTGGTTGCCAAATGATTTAGATGGCTTTTCCCCAAATGTTGTATATAATTCCCCAAATTGGCACCTTAAAAAGCCAAGAATCGGGGGGGGGGGAGATCGTATTTACAGAAATAAAATGTTTTATTAAAGAGGACTTCAACTCTCCATTCAAAATTTTCAGGGGAACCATGACCCCCATGCTCCCCTTGTGTATATGCCTACTGTGATATTCTAAACTTTTCCAAGAGTGTGATAATTAAAAAACTGGGGTTGTGAGTAGGTACCACTCCTCATGAGTTCTACTAGGCAGTCAAATGAGTCTCACTTGCTGGTTTTGAAGGAACCGATAAGTTAATGGTGAAGTGACATGCTGCCAAGGTCAACTCAAAGCACTCTACAATGGGAGTCCAACTCATTCTCGAGGATCACAATAGAAGCCAAATGCCGAAATTGGCAAAGGTATTTGTGCAAGGCGAGAGAAAGTAAAAGAAGATATTTATTTTTAACTAATTCTTACAATTTAATCCAAATAAAATTGCAAATTGTAAAACTGACTAGAAAACTGTCTTGTGGATGAGAATGTTATATTTTACGCTTGGGCTAACACTAGTTGCTTGTGCCTTAATATCATCATAATCATGGCTTTTGCCACTACCCTCTTCATTATTACAGGTATCATTGTTTCTTTCTGGTCCTCCTGCCTTACTGCGACCTCTGACGTTTTAGGCTTCTCTGAAAGTTTTACGCGTTTAATTTGCGTTCTTGGCCTTTCAAATGACGCCATGTAAGAAAATTTCCCTATATCAGTGGCTTAACGTTCGGACCCGCAAGGCCCGCAATGCGGGCGGACCCGGGTAGAAGAGGGCCTGTTTTTAGGGGATATCTTTTATTATTTAAGTACTAACTCTACTTGTGTTTGCAATACACTTTTATAAAAGGGGCCCGGAAAAGGGGTTTTCGGTGGGCCCGCACTCATTTCGTTACGTTACTGTCCTATAAGTCACCAGATTTACATTCTGACCCGGTCTTATTCGTGGTTTCGGATTCTTTAACAGTTCTTTCACATTCCTTAACACGAAATATACTTGAAATTCACGTCGTTAAATGTCTGCGTGATCGAGTTGTCATCTGCAAAATTGTACATCTGTGTGTCTCCGTTTCGCGGGTAAGGTTGGAGATAGCGGCAAGTTTCCAAATTTGTTTAGAAAATAATTGTTTATCATTCTTTTCTGTGGTTGGATGTAGAATGTGTAGGTTCTTCTATCAATGTGAATTTGTAATTTTCAATCTCTTGCGAAACGCAACGCACTCACCGGGCATCGAACCGAGAGTCCGCACCACTTCGTCCATCTTCAAACGCGAATCATGGAGCAATATCTCAACATTTTCACCTTGCATTTCACTTAATACTATACCATTTTTTTAAAATTCTCCTTTTATTTTCTCATTTGAAAATATTGGTCTGAATCGCCCGGTATATTCGTGATGGATGCCAAAAACATGGCCCCATATAATTACCCATTATAGATATTAATATTTATTTACTTATAACTTTTCTACATTTTGTAGACTGCAATAAAAACTAAAAGTAAGTTTTGTGTTGAAAAGTTTTGCAAAAAATTAATTATTCAATTATAAATATTTTCTGAACTTATGATATTATTATGTTATGTTATGATATTTAAAAAATACATTTTAATAGTATTTAATTAAACACATAAAATTTATTCATATGATGTCCTGAACTTTAAAATAAACTATTTCAATTTAACTCAGGAGTCTAATAATGACCTGCTTTTCTCACTCTGATTATCTTCTCCCCCATACGTCACATACAGTTTTTGGACTAAATAAATCTAAATATTATAATTATTACTTTACCTTGGAAGGAAATCAGGAGTGGTTCAAAACTAAATATTGACTACAAAAATTTTAAGTATTTTAAAAATAATTTATTAAAATATTTGTACAAAACAATACATAATACCTTAACATAAAGAATATCTAAAATTAAAAAGCAATTATAACTTTAAATATAACAATAAATTTAACTCTTCATGTATCAATTATTTGGCATAAAATTCCAGTGATTTTCGTTCACTGGTAAGTGAAACCACAATCACACTGAAAAAATGACATCATATGTATACTCTTTGGTTTCTTCAATATCCTCCTTTTTGTCAAAGATTGATGTACATAATATATACAAAATAAAAACATGAACTGACAATCCACTAAGTGATTGTCATGAAAAAGTATTGCAGAATTGCTTTTTCAACTTTGGAAATATTATAGTGATATTTTGAACAATAGTTCAAAAAATATTCATTTGTATTATGAATTTTTGTCTCAGAACACATATTGTACTCTTTAGGAGCTAATAAGTAAGACCTAAATAATCTGTCCCCTTTGGTAAGAATTTATGATGTACGGTATTCATTTTCAAACAGTTTCACAATACACAATGAGTTCATTTGAGGATGGTCATCTCCAGCGATGTTTTCCATATGTACAATAAGTTTCTTTAAGGCAAGAAATTGTCCTCACATATATGATATGCCTTCTGGAAAATACAAACAAAGGAAATTTAAAGCTGAATGACTGAACAACTAAACAATGAAATAAGACTGAATGAACAACAAAATATTGAACATTTAATAATTAATAATTAATTTTACTGATGTATAAATATTGCTAATACACTGATCTCAACTCCATTAAATATTGACATTCAAATCTTATCTCAATGAAAGCATGCGACAACTGTACCGTCAACTCTTTATTTGATTACATGTATATTGCCTATGTTAATTTTCAAGAATATTTTAAAGTATTACTTTCTTCCCTTTCATTGTACGAGAATGAATTTTTTTGAGAAATGATAAGTAGATTTCATTTTCTTATTTAAGATTATTACATTTGCAGTTTTACCTAGCTGGCAAATGCAATTACACAGAATTTTCAACATTTACAATAGTCTGAGTTCCATTTCCACTGCATACAAATTTGATATTTGCAATTTCCATAGGCATGGCATGCGTGTTGCCAGTGATATTCAATAATTCTAACAAAAATTACTAATTCACATGGGAATTTATTGATATTTTTAGTACCATTGTAAAATAAAATGTTAGTTTCATTCAACTAATTTTCCACTATTATTGAATAATTTTCATTTTAATGTCCTATCAAAATAAGGAATACTATAAGAATTTCCTCTTTCAAAACTAATATTTTGAATCATTCTTTTGAAGTTGTTTGAATTAATTTTGAAACATTTTACCTTTTAACTTCTGTATGTTAATCGTTGTTCACTCAATCGTACTTACGAGTACTTTTTTTTAACAATCTGTCTTTCGACGTTCTTGAACACGTTTTTGCCACCCCTAAGAGTTTGTTGAAGAATGGCAACTTGCGAATTGCATTGACTTGTACACGCCACGCCCTCAGAAATTGCAAAGAACACTATGAGAAAAGTTAAAGCAGTGCAATCTCAGAATAGGACAGGATCATCGTTCTTGTTAAGACTGCATAATTCCGCACCTTGGAATGATAGTCGATCTCCATCCACAACTAAAATGTTACTCAGTTTAGCAGTAAATTCATTACTGCCTGGTTCACAATGATGCCCTTTGACATCGTCCTCTTCTGTTTCCTCAAAGTCTCCAGCGTACACAGAGCCTGTACTACTCGGCGGTGCCTTGATGGAGGCTGGGGGCCCGGGACTGAACATGTTTTCGTACAATGCGCCCGGCACTTCCTGCAAACAAATTGAAAATAAATTTAGAAACAAGGCATCTAAACGAAAGCATAATTGTAAAAAAACATTTCATCTGTAGGCCGAAATCGTTATTATTCATTAAATATATTACTGAAACTAAACGAATGAAACTGTAGGTTTTTAAAGTTTCATAATTACGAACAGTGTAGTATTAAGCTAGATTTACGTTTCGTTATTGATAGATACGCGATTGTTTTCGGGCGCGTCAACAGCTATGGTCAATAGTCCTGTAAGTGGAGAGAATGTTTTATCAAGGGAGATAGCGGCGTTCTTCCCCCGCTGGATGGCGAGATCTACACGTTGTCTAGTGGGGTTTTCCTCATCCAGGTTTCTCCCACCAGCGAAGTACCGCTCCAGCCGAGGATACTCCCGACAGGATCCCCGACATGTGTGGTGGAGTAGTGCACGTAAGTGTAAGTGACAAGTGTGTGTGTGTGTGCGTGAGTAAGGGGTGAGGATAGGGCAAGGAGGAGAAAGGTATAGTCGCGCGCGGTCCGTGGCCCGTTTGGTAGAGTACTGCTTCGGCATTCGCCTGGTATTGATCAGAAAAAAACACGGAAAACTACCGATCAGAGCATCTAGCCGCTAGAATTCTCTTCCAGACAGTAGCTTTCAACTAGTGTCGAAATTTCTGCCACCGTCGGGATTCAATCGCTAACCACCTAGTCAGAAGGCACTACAGTGACATCCCATGATGTCCTGAATCTCTTCAGTTGGTCGTCTCGTTTTTGTTGTAAAATTATTTATGGTTTAAGAATTTGCTGTCAAAAAATATTTCTTGGATAGGACATCCCAGAAGCAATACAAAATTAAAAGCCATCCGAAGGGCAATGCAACGTGGCGCTTTTGGAACGACATCTGGCGGTACAATGAAATAGTATTCGTGGCGCGCAACTCAGTTTCGCAGTTTGAGTAGTGAGTTAATCATGATTCGATTTTGATTGGGTTAATTTGGCCAAAGAACAGTAAAAACTCTATGTGACGTATGGGGGAGAATCAGCGCACGTTTTCTTGATCTCTGGTTCCCCACCTTTTAACCATAAATAGTTGAATGATGAATGAAAGTTCCAACAAAGCGAGGTTAGTAACATTTGAAAATAGTTATTTTCGTTCGAGTTTTAGAAAACTTAGTTGCATTGATAAACGAACAACAGCTTTGAATCGTTAGTATTTCAACAAAATAGTAACCCATGCACACCTCCTACTTAAAACTAGTAAACTTGTGATGCAAAAACAGCACGTACTTTCTCCCCCGTATTTTTACGCAAAATTACGCGAAAAGTACTAACATTTTAGAAAAATTGTACGTGACCTTATTTTAAAATCTATCTTTAAGGAACATATTTTATTAAGGGCAAAATCTTTATCTTTTAGTTATAGGAAAACAACGAAAAATGTTGAACTTTTGCAATTTTCGAAAAATCAGGGTTTTCAACGTACACGAGTCCTTCACCACTCTCTTAGACGCCCTTCACACTATCCAACAACAAAATCGAATAAAAAACGATGGAGTCTTTTTTGAAAATATTGAAAATGTCCGAAGGGCTCCACGTAAAGTGCTCCCCAAAATTAAAATATCGGTATCAAATCCAAGGGACCGAGATATCTGCCAGATCGTTTATCAGTGTTGGAGAAAATCGGCTGTACGGTTCAGACTCTAGAGGATTTACCCCCTAAATCACGCTTGAGGATTTCCTCACTTTTTCGTTACCATGACCCGGCAATAACAGCTTTCTGCCTAAAATTCGCGCGGAATTACATACCTTTTCGGGCATCATTACTTAACTTTCTCTCTACTCCGAAATGAGAAAGTAAAAGGAGAGCTCAATAAAGAGAGGTTTGCAGAAATCACGAGGACGGCATTTTCTTATTATTCGAATAGGTTTTTCCTGCAATCTAATAGTCTGGTAGTATTAGTATTATGGAATGAGGTAATTTTGATATTGTGAAATGAGCTTCAAAATAGGACATATCTCAGGCGGGAATGTAAATTACAAAATACACGTAACGAGCTGCGTGCAAGCTGACAAAATTTCAAAGAATTCTGAATGTGTAACATAATATGTGTTTAACTCAGTTATATGGATATTCCAATTTAAGTTTGACTAAATTGTGACCCAGAAATTTTGTTACATTAACACAAGCTAAGTTGGTTATGGAAATTGAATTTGCAAAATGTAGCAAATCCGAATAGGATCTCTTAAATTCCTTTCGTTAAGCGGCTTTGTATAGCGGCTTGGGACAAAAAATTACGATTATGTTTGCATCTCTATAATTTTCTTGACTGGTTTCCATCTCTTTTAAATAAACTTCATTATTAGAGTATAGGCTAATTAGTGGAGTTTTTCTGTTCGCCATTTTTCGGCGCACGAATACAATACTTTCTTTTCTTACGAAGTAAGGGCGAGGTAATAAAAGCATTAGCATGGAAGAAGCATAGGCGTACGCAACCTAAAACAAGAGGCGAGCCAACTACGTGGGCTCCCTTTTGGACTAAACATTTTTACTAACATAAGACATTTTACTATTACTAACGTAAGACATATTTTACTAGTAAATAATTAAAATCTATTATATGGGAATAAAATTATTACTTAAAAATGATGTCAGTGCCATACTTTCGAAATAAATACGTTAAACCTACTGGCACATACAACTATTGCCATTTATAATCACCCCATAACACTATCAAGAAATGCGTCTGAACTTTGATTCTTATTTATGTTATAGGGCTTGATTCATACATCATTATTCTGGTAAAAAATTAAATTTAACAGAAATGTCACTTACATTTTTTTAATTTCTAGTATTTAGTTCCAATTGATTTTAAGTTGAACAATTTATGGGATTGCTTGATGGCTTGCAGAAACTCTTCTCCAAATGATGTAATACAACAAATTTCCAAATTGTCGAAAAAAATGGATCATATGAAAATAAGGAATTGAATATATTTACGGAAATAAGTTTTTTTATTTAGTGAGACAAAGGGCTCGTATCAAAATTTTCAGGGCG